TCTTTCTTTCTTTCTTTCTTTCTTTCTTTCTTTCTTTCTTTCTTTCTTTCTTTCTTTCTTTCTTTCTTTCTTTCTTTCTTTCTTTCTTTCTTACTTTCAAGGGAAAAACAACATCCATGGCCGTTGAATCTGTATGTTTACAATATACATTAACAGTTTAATCTGTATTGTCTTCGCTTAAAAGCGCAACTGTGTTTGTAGCTATGCGACAACCTTAATGAAATAATGACAATTCACTTTAGAATTGTGACACTTACCAGCTTAGAACCTTTTGGCGAGATGCAAGGTGAATAAGCTGCGCAGCCATCCGCACTTATCTGCTCTGAAATGCCCCAAATCATAATTCATTCCCACTGATAAACCGATTTCATAAAGCTTTCATAAAAATGCACGTTAAAGTGCCAAGGTTGGCCCTCAATTTACAAGTTTTTGTCACAGAACAGTTTTAAAGGGTTTGAAAATCTATGAGCTGTCAGTTTTGATAACTTTCAAAATCTACTATTTTTCTTTGGTATTAGCGCTATCAGTTTTATATTGTTAAAAAAGCCTAAGCTTAAACTTGTTTAAACAAAATTCAACTCTTTCAGTCAGATTATTCAAGATATCCTAAATTATTCAAGAGTTGATCAGAAACAACCCTTGCTAGCACTGATTTGCACCAAGCAGGCAATGACTGCTATATCTCAGTATTTTTTCTTGCTGCCCATTCTAAAATTCAGTTTTGCTTTCAATGGATTGTTGTCCTGCTTTCACCTTCAATGACTTAATACATAATACAAGCGAAGTGCTGCATGGATATTCTGTAGTTATTTCAGTTTCTTTCCTTGTATAGTGTCCATTTTGAAGCAGTTTGTTGAAAGCTAGAAAATCACTTACTGCACATCGGTTCAGAGCCATTGAACTTTGCTTGAAATATAGCACTTCTGCAATGGAGAGCAGAGGTATAAGGTAAATAAGTGAAAAAAATATGTACCTTGCAAAAGGCATCGAAAAAGCAATAAGCACGAAACTGTAAATTAAATTAAACAAGGAATAAACAATGATGAATTACAAGTTATAACGTTAATTAAATAGGTAGTTAATTATACACATTAATCGGGTTTAATTTTCTTGAGCAGCAACAGCATAAGAGCTCCAATTCAACATCGTCGCCCATTCAACAATTTTAATTTTAACTGTTAGCAGAAACACATGCTATAGTTCATTTTATGATACGAACTTTTACACGATCTGCTCTTCTAATTTCTTTAGTCTAACTTTAAACACACTGTTTTTGCCAAATAAATTTATATCATATGTGGCTGATATTTCGACAATCTTTTCTCGCATTCATAAAAAAACCAGAAACCTGTTTAAAAATCACCTTCGATTCTCACAGTAAACAAGGCCAAGTTTAAAAGGTTCAGTCCACCATCCTACAAAAATCAGTGACAGATTGTCCGCATCGAGAGGTCCCCAAATAGCCTAGGAAAGTACAGATTCCAGCTAAAGACGGATAATTTGAAAAATTCCATTTACAAACTAGCATTTACACGGAGAACGGTACAACAATAATACCGAGCGAGAAGTGGAGTACACATTATAGCTGAACATTGCAGTATCCGTTCAAAACGAATCTGCTGATTGTGAATATGCGATGCTTTCTAATTAATTTGTACAGTCACTTAGTTACAAGTAGTTAAATTTGAATGCGCAATGCATAATATGCGTATACGCAATGCATAATATTGAAGGAACATTCGTGTCTTTTGAGGGAATAAGCCACAGTGAAATCGAATCAGATAAGGAAAAGATTTGGAGAAAGCGGGTCATGAGAAGAGTGACAACGAGAATGGTTATTTATGATGTAACTATGATACAAATAGTTTAGATCATACGCTGTGGAGCACCACGAGAAATTGTCATCAAACCTTCGCCCCAATGCATAGTGTAGATGCACAGTCTCAATGGTTCAGACAAATGGATAGAATAATCTATCTGAACAACAGGAAGATTATTCAGGACTCCTCTGCCTAATAAATACTTGACTAGCCGAATGGCATTGGAAAGTTGGACATATAGGAAACCAGTCAAGCATTTATTTATATGTGGAGAGCTAGTTTTGGTTTGATCTGGCACAAAGCTAGGTTCATTATAACACACACGCGTTATAAATTCATCAAAATGAAAAATGACGGAAGAAGCAAATAAAAGCAAATGCTCACCATAGAAACAAGTCCGGGTTCGCCCCAGTAAAATTCAAAAACCTGAGGTTGCGTATAAACTACATTTTAGCAAACTAGCTAGTTCTAAACTAACCCATCTTAGGTGGTGGGCTAGTTAAATTGAACCTGGGGCTAAACCAGGAAAGTTGCAAAACTGACTCACATGAGCTTACCTTAGCGGCGACCCCGGGTTTGTTTTGTGTAAAAAGGCCATTTTACTGAATATTTGTTTTTCTTTTCCAAGCATCTGTAATGCTTGCCAAAAGTAGTTTAAACACCTAAGAAGTCAGTCAGAGCTTAACAATTTCATATTCACGCCTCGAGAAATATCTGATCTGACCTTTTCCCCAGACAATGTTGTCAGCCCTCCCAGAGCCTCAGCCATTCCAGTTTATGAAATACAGGTCACGTTCCAATAGTGTATTTCTATGGAGAACTATTCAACACTGTTTGCAAGAGGAGAGGAAAAAAATTGGTGTGAATGAAAAACTCATTGTACGTGTTCCAGGACGGTAAAAAATTTGCTTCGCCTACTGTAAATAATTTTATGATGATAATAATAATTGAAACAGGAGGGTCCTTGGCGCCAAAGAATTCACGTCACTTGAAGCTGTCTATCCGATATGCCCGGATATACAATAGAAATTGAAAGATCCACAATTTTGGCTGAAAGTAAACATACCTGGCCAGGCGAAATGTGCTTCGGGAGCCAATCCACAATACTGACTTCCTCTCTGTGAATATCAACAACAACGATTGCTGAATGCAATAATTCTTTTTTCTGCTCACCCCAGTCCTCTTCATACAAATACTTGTCACCCTGTCAAGATTAAAACATTATAATTTAAAAAATTGTTTCAAAAACATGAAAAATGCTCGTTTGAATGGGAATTGAAATGGATACCGAATGAAGTCGAGAGTAAATTTTCTGCCCACGAAGATCGTTAACACTGCCATTAATTAAGGCCACACTACACGATATAGCATTTTGGACATAGCTATCAACAAAAACAACACTAGTCATAATAAGGAATTATTATCACCACTACCCATTTGATGACTCCCGGAATATGCTTGGCGGCGTCAGCCACAGGTCATTTGTTTATGGTGACATTGAACCTTTAAATTGACGAACGAACGTGTAAACCTTTGTTCGTCCATCTGATTAGCGAATGAAACAATTAAACATTAGAGTAGACAAAAGCTTTCGTCTGACACTCTTCACAGTTTAAAACGTGAGAACATATATCGAAGACTCTACGCTAGGAAATATATACCCAGTTGTGGATGGAAATAGGCCAATCAGAAACGTGGGCACATGACTGTTGAAGTAGCCCAATCAGTGCTGGCCTACATATTTCTGATATTTCTTATGGAGGTACAATTATTGATGTTGTAAAGAAACTGGCCTACATCTTTCTTACCGTCTTTTTTTCTGGGTCCTTGCATTCTGATCCTAAGCAGTGAAGAGTACAGCAATGATGTCAGAAATATTCAAAACAGAACACATGCAAAAGACTGTTTTTTTAAATGTTAGAGCTCTTTGTATTTATGCATTAAGAAAAGTGCATTTTGTCAGCAGGATGACCGAAGCTAATGCATTGTGGCTGTTCATGAATTAGAACAGATGGCTGCTGATGAAAATTTGGAATTGAAAATTACTGCGCAGAAAGTCGAAAATTACAACACAGTGTCAAGTTTTCAAAGACTGACGTGTGTGAAGGTTTTTGAGGCACATTGTGCTAGTGAAATTAATGTTTTTTGCCTAAGATTGAAATTTAATAGCAGAAAAATTGAATAAATAACAATTTCATACTTACTTGGAGAATTAGAAGCAGCTTGTTGCAACGTGAAATTTAAAATATTTTCACAACGAATGGATTAGGGATCGCGTGTTAAAACGTTAGGTCTTCACTGTCAGGTTTCCTGAAGCAACTTTTGTCAACGCAAAACTAGCGCTAGAAAAAGCGGTTACCATTTGTAGGAGTGAGGATACAGCAAGATAGACTATTAGAGAAATTGAAGACAGGCTTCAGATGTTGTTCACAAGATAAATAAATCAGGAAAACAAACATCAGTGAAAACGTCAATTCTAATGTTCACTGTAACTTATGATGCTGCAATTATTTACATTAGATTTTGTTGCAGTGAACACCAGAGTGGGAAAGAATCTTACCCAGCCAAAGTAAAAAAGTAAAAATTGTGGCAAAAGCAAGCAATTAGTAGTTAAATTTACAGAGAAAGAACGGAAAGCAAATCACGTTGACGATGAAACTGATTTAGTTGTGTCCATCAATGTGTATGAATGCAAGCATTAGTTAGTTTACACCATCAAGAAGACAAAGATATATCCAGATATGATGATAAGGTCCACAACAAAACAAGTGTCTGTTCAAGGCGACAATAGTTCCTTATTGAACTCCTTATTGAAACAGATCAAACTGTATTCATGGATCGGCAACAGAATAACTCCTGTAGGTTCTGCTACAAAAGTCATCGAAAAGCCATTAAAAAACAATTTTTACAGGCTTACATTTGTTTGTGTTAAGACGATCTTACACCAACCTCTTGTGAAACTGACATCATAATCATTGGGAGTTGGAAAGCTGTTCACGAAGCAACCAGTTCATGATCAAAGGCTTCTAGCATTACTGAAAAGTGTGAAGATGTAGGAATTAAGCTGGATGATCAAGCCGTTGAAAGATACACGCAGAAGACCACAAGGATTTTGAATGAGACTTCAGAATTATAACATCGCTGTACCATATAAACCAGGATTGGAACAGTAGATCGCCAAAAGACAGAGTCGTAGTCCACAAAAATAAAAAAAACTATAACATTGACAATGCAAATGTAGGTAATAACCATCTTATGTTCTTATTGGTGAACCACGGAGAAAGAATTTGCTGAACGGAACAAACAAACATGAGACAATGAAAGAGGTGTAGAATGTCATTAGTATAGGATTGCCAGATAGCAAAAGTCAAGTTGCTAACAGCGTTAAGCCATATTTCAACCAAAGAGTTGAATTAGCAATTAATGAAGCGGTTGTTTACAGGAGAGAAAGAGTGAAAGTTCTACTCATACTGAGGCCTGCGAAAGGGGAAAAATACAATTCCTTTTTAGGAAAACAAGCTTGTCTAAGGAGAAAACTAAGTTACCAGTAGCGATACTAGAGCGTCCATGGCAAATTGGGACATTAGCAAGACATCTGCAAATTCAGCAGGAAGCAGGAAGGGAAAGACGAATTTAAAACACAAGTAACTATCAATGGCGACTCGCAGTTATAACATTTGAAGCAAGCTAATTAGAGTTCAAAGGATCATTACCCTTTTTGCGTTGAAAAAATGTCTGCCGAGTCTCCCTCTTTGTTTCAGCAATGTACACCAGTCTCCTGTTATCAGCTGACCAATTCAAACTTGAAAATGTTACTGCAAAAATTCATAGTTAATCCAAATTAAACCAATGGGAAAACGAATTTACATAATATTTAATACAAATATTCAGCCTAGATGATAACAGGACCCTAGTCTAATTTGAAAGTTGAGACAATTGACAAAGTGAAACAATAAGCACAACCAACCATCATTGTAAACGTCGCCATGAATGTCAAACTCCGTCAAATTCAATGCCTTTTGCAGAAAACTTTCAGACCAAACCTGCAAAAATGTAGATCATAACAACAGATTTTCCTTATAATTAAAAAAAACGAAATAGGTTTTTGTACCGCAATATTTGAAAATGGCAAAAAATAGCAGAAACATAGCATACTGAAATACTTTTACAAATCTATTCAAAAGCAAAGTTTGCTTTCCATCTAGATCTATTTATTAAGTAGCAAGCCTAAAAAAATTCACTTTCTCTTCAACGTCCGTTATTTTAATATTCGGTTTTATTTTTTTTGAAATCTATCAAAAAAAATAAGGTAATTCCACCGAAAACAAAAAATCACAGAAATAGGAGACGTAGAATTAATGGCTTAGCTACGATTTGGCGGTGAAGGGGCGAAACCCGGACAAATTCCGACAATATTCCGATGAAATTTAGTGATGTTGACAAATTTTCTGACATACACCTTAGAAGTTTGGTGGTTGCCTCCACTTATACGTCGCATCAAAGGACCGTTGTTTGTTCATGCTCGCATTTGTAAACTTATATTACATATATTATCGCTACTCTGCTATTACGCATTTTAGAAACCGATATGATAAAATAAGAGCAAAGCTTGTAGGTTGTAATAAAGCTGACAAATCAGCCCGGGTATAAAAGCTAAATAAATAACCATAGAAAATACTCAACCATAAAGAACATTATCTCGGTAACTGTACAAATATAACATTTCTTCAGGGCATATAAATGTTTAAGCATATAAAAATAATATACAAGTACAGCGTTTTGCCGAATTACTGTCCGAAAATCTTCCGGGATTTTTCTTGCAAAAACGGCTTTTCAAGATCTCTAATTGTTAAATCTGACTCAAACTTGAATCTTTGAATTTGGTCAACAACTGGATCATCAGTAGTTATTGCATCATGAAAAGTGTTTCTTCTCGAAATTGTTCGCTGTTCAAAAGTTGCAGGGAATCCAAGAGATTCACACCGCTCTTTTGCTTTGGCTATTATCGTGTCGAAGTGACCATTCTCGCAACGCATTGCAGTCAACTGACCGATGCATGCTTGAATAAGGTGACAGGACACCTTATTCAAGAGAGAGCCAATATTAAGAAGAGGGCTTTGAACCTTGTCGGTAGCAGCTTTTGTGATGACTAACACATCAAACCAAATAGCAACATCACGAAGAACTCAAACTTTCCCAGTTTATCTAGTAATCCTTGAGCATCTGCAAGACCATGTGCATCAAGCTGATTGTTTTTATCAGCTCCTCCAGAGCTTCAACGTAAATTTCGAAGTTGTCTCTTGTATGCTGAACTGCATTGGCACGAGTTGCCCAACGTGTGTCGAAAAGTGCTTTGGGGGTTTCGTGGATTTTCCCTGCATTCTCTTGTGCTTTGTGCAACTGGGCTATTCGCTTAGGACTTGCAGCAACAAAACTACACAAGTATTCTAAAACTCCAAAGAAAGACCTCACTTGCACACTGTTTGTTGCTGCCTTTACAAGAACAAGGTTCAGGCGATGCGCCATACCCTATAGTCTCGCATAAAGGCACCGGCGCCTATATCCGCATATTTGAAATTTCTGGGTTTCAAGTCAAGAAAATAGGGCCGCGTATAGGCGCCAGGCGCCTATAATTTGTTGGCAACAAAATCACTTTAAATCGCGAAAAAATCATTTTGCATCACAGCTTATACTAAGAAACAACTCAACTGCAGAAATTTTACAGATTAAAAACACAATGTTATAGTTCTACGATAATGTCCTCGTCGTGTTCTTCATCAGAACCAGAGCCTTCGTTCTCGTTCTCGTTCTCATCGACTGTGTTACAATGATCTCTGTCTTCGTAAATTTCATTGCTCGCCTCTTCAAGCTACAGCAACATTTCGTTTACCTCTAAGATTGCTTCTAAAGGCACAGCTCGATTCAAAATCGTATCACGGAACCGTGAATGAAGCTTGTGGTAGTCATCATCCCATTCGATGTATCCGCATTGCTTGAATCCTGATAAAGAGAGCCTGATAATCAACAGGATCAATATGCCGTGAAAGTGTAGTGATTTCAATATTGTAAAATGGGCCATATTTGCACTCATTCATCGATCATGCCATCACCACGACATCCCCTTACGTCATTGGTGGCATCACATACCATAGGACATTCCCTTCACCATTGTACACAAGTTCACACATCTATGTCATGCTACATTAGTATCGTTCCTATAAAAGTTCTGAAAGATGGTGGAATTGTAGGACACATTCCACGACTATTTTATAAAACTTGCACCCTCCTTTTGCTGTCCGGTGGCTCCATGAAAGTTTGCGTGACAGGAAGACGAGGGAACAAAGAGGAAAGGGGCTGGAGGTCCCTTGTTTAGTGACTGTCAAGGTGTTAGAACATATTCTATCAAAAGTAGAACCAATTATTAAAGATATATGTAAAAAACTAAATGGAAATAATTGAATCTTCTATTTGAAAATCACTTTATGTTATTTCTCTGTCAATTTACGGTAAGAAATATGATATTCAAAAAACCGGGCCGGATATAAGCGCCGGCGCCTACATACGAGTGGCGCCTATATGCGAGATTATAGGGTACAGTGGACGTAAATGGCTGTCGGCCTGATTTCTCGCACCAATATCTGCAATCCACCACGAATTCCAGACATTGTTGAACAGCCATCCATTGCTTGTCCTCGTATCAAATCAGAATCAAGGCCATACTTGAGTTCTATCAACTTGTCACGAAAATCCACTGCCTTAGACCCATTCATCTCATCAAAGCAGAGAAAATCCTCCAGTGGCTTTCCATTTTTTACGTATCTTATTGTTTTTATTCACTTTATTTAATGTTGGTTTACAAAATAATAGCTAATAAAGAGCTAATTAACACTAACTTGTAACAATAACAAATACAACTAAGAAAAATCGTGATGTTTACAAGTATCCAATATTAGAAATATATGGTGTGCATAATCTACGCGAGCAAGTAAGATCCGTTTGCCTAATTTTAGTTTTGAATACTTAACAATTTTCTGTCGATCGAATGTCTAATGGTATAGAATTCCACAATTCATTACATCGATAGGATACTGTATCCAGTCCATAAGTAACAGTGTTCGGCGTTTTTTATCAAAGATTGAATTTTTAAATTATATGCAAGTTCAATTAACTGAAATATTTCTTTCATAAATACTGGATTTAAGTTACTTACTGTTTTGTATATTTCTATTGCTAGTAGTTGTAGGTTCTTTTGATGTATCCTGATATCATTTTTTTGTGAGAGTATATTTTCAAAGCACAATCATTGTAAGCCACTCTCAGTGCCCTTTTATGGATACTTTCAATAAGTTTTCCAGATTTTCGGCTACAATACATCCATAAAAAAGGGCAATAGTTAAAATGACTAAGTATAAAGGTTTCATCAATAGTGATATTTTATATTCATTCATATAAGGGGCCACTCTGACTAGGGCATTTATCTTTTCACCTGCTTTTTTACATAAGTTTTTCATATGTTTTCTACAAAGTTTAGTTTACTGTCTAAAGTTATTCCAAGTAGTTTGGCCTTCTGATTGTGGCATTTCTTATTTTAATATTTGCTTTTTCAGTTCTGGTTTGTTTATGTTCATTTGTCATAAAGTTACATTTGTCTTCATTTAGTAACAATGAATTATCCTCAAACCATTTACTTAGAGTTGCTACTTCTGTCTCTAATTTATATATTATATCATCAATATCTTTACCTACTGACCATATTGTATTGTCATCGGCATAGTTCTAAAGATTTTCTGTAGTCATGAAATAGCAAATATCATTTAGAAAAATGTTCAATAATAGGGGGCCGAGAACTGATCCCTGTGGGACTCCTTGTGCAACATTTTTCCACGTGCAATGCCGTAATAAAACCAGATATTGTTTGCTGAATCCATACGCATGTAGTTCAGCAATAAAGAGGTCATGTGGGAGGCAATCAAATGCTTTTGATAAATCAATCATTATAATACCTGTTCTTTTTTTATTTACGAGATAAATTTTAAAGTTTTTAATCAAGCGTATCAACGCATGTTGTGTACCATATTTTTCACGGGATCCGCATTATACATCATTCTTTCATATATCTTAGAAAGTGAAGGAAGAGCACTTACCGCCCTGTAGTTCTTTTTATCATTTGGATTTTCTTTCTTAAATACTGGTGATACATCTGCTTGTTTTATTGCATTGAGAAATCCACCAGTTTTGACAGAGTGGTTAAAGAGAATTTGTAATGTTTCAGAAAGTTCTTCCACTGATGTTTTGATGACTTTAGATGGTATATCATCAGGGCCAGTTGCCTTCTTCGAATCTAAAGAGTTTATTTCTTGAATTATTGTTTGTATATTTTTGTTATAATTTGATTTTGAATTACTGTAGATATTGAGCTGATAATTCTATTCTGAATTTCAGGAGAAGTGTACTTTCCCCTCCCCCCTCCGACTTCTTGCTTGAAAGATGAGCAACCAGAACTGGATAATATTTTGCCACCAACTGTAGCAATTCCAGGTAGTTACCACTTTTTTCAAACGAAGACATTTGTGCTTGGCTTTCAAACTGATCACCTCTGAATGAAATCTCTTGTAATGCCAAAAAAAAAAGTTATGGAGAAGATTCGATCTAGGATCAATAATGTCTTCTCCCTATCTGTTTCAAGTTACCTCTGAAATTCTGCATAAATTGTTTGGCCATGCAGAAGTCGCTGCTGAAAGACTCCCACTGTGCAAGACTAATACAGTGAAGCCTTGTATCTTCGTGTGCCCTGATCTTCTCGATTCCTTTCTTGAAATTTCCAACACCTATCTGGCTCCAATTTTTCTCTAAATCTTTTTCTGATGTGCAAGGAAAAAGCCAACAGCAGAAACAAAACATTTTTTGCACTTTTGGAGAATATATCAACCATTCGCGTAAACTCTTATTTCTTTTATACCATGATTGTTTAAAGCATCTACCATCGATATTCTTCGAGAATAAGATGCTGGTTGGTTGGCATAGTCCATGTCGCACAATTTTGGCACGTTGTTTGGCTGTTATTCTTGTACCTCGGAAGTTAGCCAGATCCGTTGGAAACTCCTCAAAATGATTGGTCACAAAGTCAACTGAGATTCAGAGTGTAGCGTAGAGGCGACAGCCTGATCACCCATTCGAGCAGCAGTATCTGGTTGAAGTTACATGTCACTAAGAGCCGAACAGGCTTCATTTGATTTTCCAGTCAAGGATTCCTGGAAAGTTTGTGACGATGAAGTCGATGATGCTTTTTCTTCAGGAAATGTCTCCGGGGTTTCTTTTGTCGCTAGAGAAAATGGACTTTCCGGAGCCCCAATAATCTTGTATGGAATGCATCGGTGGGCAGCAATCATTTCACAATGGTATTTTTCATTTTGTTTTCTTCGGTAGTCACTATAGACAGTACTGCCGAAAGGGGGTAGCCGGGGGCAACTTCCCCGGGGCCCTGGCCATTTTGGGGGCCCGTTAAAATTGAAGCTGTATTATTCTGTCATATTTTGTAATGATATTAAAGCGAAGACTTAAAGTTATGTTGTAATTACCTACCGTTAATTACAGTTGACCAAAACAGACAGCTCTGTCAGGAAAGAATACAGTAGAATCCCGTTATAAGTTATAATACTTGGTTATTACGTACTTTCGGATATAACGTACTGGAGTGCTTGGTCCCGGTGTAATATGCGTTTTGGTACCCTCTGCAAAAGTGTAACATTGTAAAACGCAATGTGTTTCAAATCATGTGATTTCATCGTAGTGCGATATTATGACACGTTATAAATAACAAATTGAACACAATGCTTTTTTGAGTTTAAAATTTCACATTTTTCGATCAAAAAAACTTTGGAGTCGCCATTAATGTTTTACTTTTTTGTTTAAACTTAACAAGGGAAATCACAGCACTGCTTCTTGTTAGTACCCCTTGTTAGACATAGTTTGATTGTTCTTTACGTTCTGAACAATATAAACAAGAACATTTGTGTTCCAAGACCGGTTCGCATGCTAAATTCCACCATTCGTTTCGGTTCTCTGTTTTTTAAAAGCTTGGGTACGTTTTGTATAAGAAAAATTGCCATGCGTTTGTGTACCGGGACCATTTTGCATGCTAAATTCCACCATTCGTTTTGGTACTCTATTATTTAAGTGCTTTGGTACGTTTTTGTATAAACAAAATTGCCATGCGTTTGTGTGCCCGGACCGTTTTGCATGCTAAATTTTACCATTCGTTTTGGTACTCTATTGTTTAAGTGCTTGGGTACGATTTTGCATAACCAAAATTGCCATGCGTTTGAGCACCCGGACCGAAATGCATAAGGTTACCGAAACGCATATGACACCGGCAAAAGGTGTGCTTGGTTTTAATCAATTTTTACTTACCCTCGTTACAACGTACTTTTGATATAACGTACTTAATACGCTGTAAAATGTTTTCTCACCAGTCAATTTAGATCAAATTTGGAGAGACCTGTTGAAGAGAAGAGCTAAAAAGAATTTCGAAGTAAGTTTGTCCTCCTATCAACATAAGTCTGGTGGTCAGAAACGACGGGAAAAGAAGGAGAGGGACAAAGAAACTAAGACAGGCGCACTAACATTATTTGATGTTAGTATTAAAAAGCGAACTGAAACTGAAAAAGAAACTTCTGGGCTCGAAAATGAACAAACCGGTCCACAACCTACTCTCAGATAAGCCAGATACCTCAACATGGCCAGAACTCTCAGATAAGCCAGATACCTCAACATGGCCAGAACTCTCAGATAAGCCAGATACCTCAACATGGCCAGAACTCTCAGATAAGCCAGATAAAACAGTGTCTCCAGCAACTTTACAAGCAACCCCAAGTCAAGAGGAGTCAGCTCATAGTGAAATAACCAAGCCAGTACATTTCGGCTTCAACATTGGAACGTCTCCAGCCGCTCCTACAACAAAGGAACTGGAAGAAATGATACGAAGAGGCCATCTAGCACATCCGAGCAGTTTCCCAATGACATTACCTGCAGAAAATTTCCAACATCTGTGCTGAAATTCAAACAACCGAACAGCCCTGCTAAGAGTGCTTCATTCTGTTTGCCATGTAGACTTTTCACAAGTTCAGTAGAACATACATCATCCAAATCAATCTTGGCGTCCGCCAATGGATGGAGCACAACACAAAAATGGAGAAAGTTTCTCGACCGGCTTCCTGAGCATGAGCACAGCACGGTGCACAAGAAATGTTACCTCACCTGGCGACAATTTGAGAGGCGTTTGGAAGAATTTTCTTGAGTTGACATGCTCATCAATGAAAGGATTCTCTCAGAGGCTCACGAATGGAAGATGATTCTTGCAAGAATCATTCATGTCGTTGTCTTTCTTGGTGAAAGAGGACTGCCTTTCCGTGGATCTTCATAAAGAATTTGTGATATTCACAATGGGAATTTTCCAGGTCTTATTGAGCTCCTTGCTCACTATGATCCAATTCTACAAGAGCATGTTACAAAAATTCAAGTATCACAGGAAAAAGGTGAAAAACTGCAAGCTCATTTTCTTTCAGCATCATCTCAGAACTAGTTTATTGGTCTTTGTGCAGAGTATGTTGGTAGTCGTGTCTTGGATGAAATTGATGATGCAAAATACTATTCAATCATTCTGGATGGAACACTTGACTGAAGTCACGTTGAACAAACTACTTTATAATCCGCTATTTGAAGAGGGAGCTGGAAACTTTTGTTGTGAAAGAGCTATTCTTGACATTTGTTGATTTTTGTAAGAAGACTGGTCTTGAAATAAGTATTCTAATCTTGGAAACCTTGAAAAAGTTTGGGATTCCACTTGCAGACTGCCGTGGTCAAGGATATGATAATGCTGCAAACATGTCTGGCAAATAAAATAGAGCCCAACAGCATATCCTTGCTGAAAATCTCTTGTGCCTGTACTCACCCTGTGCCTGCCATTCACTCAATCTCTGTGGAGCAGATTCTGCAGCTTGCTGTAAAGAAGCAGTGACATTTTTTGGTATGGTAAAAACAGTGTACAACCTATTCTCCTCAAGTCTCCAGCAATGGTCCATCCTTCGAGAAAACATTGGATCCTCACTGCACGGCCTGTCAGGTACAAGATGGACTGATCGTGTTGCAAGTGTTCGACCATTTGCAGCTCAACTGCCAGGACTGCGCTCAGCTCTTAAACAACTTCATAAACTGAACCCTACCTCTGAAACTGCCACTGAAGTTGACGGTGCCATAAAGTACATTTCCTCTTTTCCTCCATTCCGAGGAAAAATTTGCAGTGATGGAGCAAGCAAACGGAAGAATCAAAGTCGGCTGCCCTTACTCCAGGAATTAACGTTCGGTCGCATAGAAGGAACAGACAGTCAAACGCTAGATATCCATTGCTTGAATCTGCTTTTTTGGACTACATCAAAGAAGAGAGAGGTAAACGTAATTCTGTCACTGGTGAGCAGATACACAGAAAGGCGATGGTTATATTTCCAGCTATGTATCTAAGCAATAATGAGCGCTTTTCTGCTTCTTGCGGATGGCTACGTCGAATGATTAGACGAAATAACCTAAAGTTTCGTCGAGTTACAAGTGTTGGGCAGAAAATTCCTGATGATGCCCCAGAACGTTGTGATACATTCTTAGCTTTGATTAAAACGTTGGATGATTTTGACATCATAATGAATATGGATGAAACTCCTTGCTATTTTGATATGCCATCGTCCACCACCTTCTATTTAAAAGGGGTAAAGACAGTGAACATTAGAAATACTGGCAATGAAAAATTGAGATTTACCACTGTAAGATTATCCGGTATATAACAAGGATAGAACACTCGAACTCGAACTTCAATACTCCATTTTGTATTCTCACGCATAACATAACATAACAAACCGGGCGTATGCCCAACATAACATAAATACGAGGCTAATAACGTCACACCCTTCCTCCAAAAAAAGAATAAACAGAACAGTAACATAATAAAAATAATTGTTTTTAAAGTTTGCTAATCAGAAGTTGTGGCCAGCGAGGTAGTCAGGCCGAATTCCTTTCCTGCCACTCCTTGTCGTTACTGGCTGGTAAAAGTTCAATTGCCTGTGATCAAATCTTGTCTCAGCAGGTCTTGCAGCTGCTGTCTCTTCTTCAGTAGCATCAGGTCGTGAGTGAGGTGCCTCTTGCGGATCAAATTGCTCCATTTCAGATTGGTGATCTTCATAAGGTCGAGCCACTGCTTCTCGTTCCTTTATGGGGAAAATGATTGAATCTTCTTCATCTGCAAAGAAAGGCTCTATGGTTTGACGTAGAAACTTTCGATTTCGTCTGAAGATTCTTCCATCTTCGGTTTTTACATAAAAGATCTTACACCAACTAGCTCTATGACACATCCCTTGGTCAAGCGGCCTGTTCTGGCGGAATTTCTTGGCTTTATCCGGACTACATCATCTTTCTCTAATGCACTTAGCTCACTTGTGCCTCTGTTATAATACTTTGATTGTATCTCTTTCCTCTTTCGAAGTTTATCTTGGACACCAGTGACAACCTTTGGTTTAAGGAGCTTCTTCGATATGGGAAGCAGTGTTTTAGCTCGTCTGCTAAAAATACGTTGGGAAGGAGAGCTTTCCATCCCCTCAGAGGGCGTGTTTCGCCATTCTAGTAGCACAAGTCATTGCCAGATTCAGTCGCTTTTTTCATTAGCATCTTTGCAGTTTTGACGGCATTTTCTGCTTTGCCATTACTCTGTGCGTACTCTGGCGAGCTTAGCTCGGTGGTAAATTCATATTCTTTGGTAAAATTCTGAAATTCTTTAGAGGAGAAAGGTACGTTGTCACTCATGAGCTTATCTGGTATGCCATGAGTGGAGAAATGTCGCTTGAGCTTCTTCTTAATTTCCCCAGCAGTTTTGTAAAATAGACGATCTATCTCAAAGTAGTTGGAGTAGCAATCCACAGTACAGAGAAAGTCTTTGTTGTTGACTGTGAAAATGTCAGCAGCAATTATTTGCCAGGGGCGGCTTGGGATTTCACGAGGAATAAGGGGCTCTCTGGTCTGGTTGTTTTGGAATGTGTTACAGATTTCACATTTCGAGATGAAGTCGATAAGATCTTTGTTCATGCCAGGCCAGTAAACTGCTTCTCTGGCTCTTCTGAGGCAGCTCTGTATTCCTGTGTGTGTTACATGCAGTTTATCCCGGATCTTTTTGCGCAGTGTTTCTGGAACAACTGCTCTCTGACCCTTGAATATTACGTCATCCTGTGTTGCTAGCTCGTCTCTAATTGAGAAGTATGGATGAATACATCGAGGAAGGGTATCTTTTCTTTCTGGCCACCCATTCAAAATTATTTCTTTCAGTGCTTGTAAAGTGCTGTCACATTTGGTTTCTCGCTGTATTTCCTTCAGCTGTGGCTCAGAGATGGGGAGATAATTTGACATGTGGATAGTTTCGACTTCTTCTTCAGTTGCGGACTTTTGTCTCTCACTTGTCGGCAGGTATGCACGAGAGAGTGTGTCTGCTAGAACAATTTCTTTGCCAGGTTTATAGCAGATTTTAACATCGTATGATTGCAATCTTAGTAGCAACCTTTGCAGTCTCTTTGGAGCAGAGGCGAGTGGTTTGCTGACGATTGAGACAAGTGGTTTGTGATCCGTCCAAAGTGTAATCTCTCTGCCATAGACATAGGTATGGTGATGTTCCACTCCAAATACTTGTGCAAGCAGCTCCTTCTCTATTTGGCTGTAATTTTGCTCTGCAGGGGTGAGGGCTCTGCTTGCATATGACACGGGACGTCCCTCTTGCATGAGCACGAAACCAAGCCCCTTTGATGATGCATCAGCCTGGCCTTCTGTTGCTGCCTTATGGTCAAAATACTTTAGAACTGGTGCCTCACAAATTGCTTTTTGTATGTCAGCAAAAGACTTGTCATGATCTTTTCCCCATACCCATGGTGCATCTTTGTGGGTCAAACTTCTCAGAGGTTCGCATACTTCAGATAGTCTGGGAAGAAACTTGGCCAGGTATTTTACCATGCCAATGAACCTTTGTACACCAGCGACATCTTTCGGCTTTCTCATCTTTGTGATGGCTTCAACTTTTGCGGGGTCTATTTTAAGACCATTCTGTGTTAGGGTATGACCAATGAAGGAAACTTCATCGCATTTGAACTTGAATTTGTCCTTGTTCAGCTTGATATTTTTTTTGTTGACAACGTTTCAAAAGTGCCACCATGTTCATGTCATGATTTTTGACAGCTTCTTCGTAAGTTTCTCCTCTACCGGTAACAAGAGCATCGTCAGCGACTGCATACACCCCAGATAGGCCTTCAATGCACTGATCAAATTTGTGTTGAAAATGTTCTGATGCTGGTTTAATTCCAAATGGCATCCTGAGGTACCTCCAACGCCCCCATGGTGTCTGGAACGTTGTGAGCATGCTTGATTCTTCATCGAGCTCTATTTGAAGGTACCCTTCCTTCAGGTCAATTTTGCTGAATACCTTGACACCCTCTAGCTCTGGTAGCACATCCTCAATAAGCGGTAAAGGATAATGACTTCTTTTCAATGCTTTATTGAGGTGTTGTGGATCGATGCACACCCTCAGTTTCCCATTTGGTTTTTCTGCAATGACGAGATTTGATACCCAATCTGTTGGACTTGTAACTTTCTGAATGACATGAAGATTTTCCAGCCTTTCCAATTCAGCCTTGAGTTTGGCTTTGAGAGCGATTGGTACTCTGCGAGGCGGCATGACAACAGGGGTTTGTGACTCATCAACATCTAAGTGCAATTTGCCTGGCATGTGACCCAGACCTTCAAAGACATCTCCAAAACGGTTCTCTATATCTGCAATACTGAGTGGAGCCACTGCGGTGGTCGATAAGACTGTTTCCATGACAACCGTTGGTTGTGCCTGTTGATGTGTGCTGTTTGAAGCAATACTGTTAGAGCTAACATTATCTACACTTGCGTTAAAGATATTAGCATAATTAACAGTCAGAAGTCCCATCTTTTGTGCTGCATTTGCTCCTAATAATGGCACATAGTCACCTTTTACAACAACAAATCTGACAGTGTACTCAGTCTGGATCTTTGGGTTTACTACCTTAAGTTTACAAATACCATTTATCGGTAATAAGGCTTGGCTGTACAGGCGCAAAGAGTGATCCGATTTTTCAACTTTTGTGCCTGGAGGAACGAAGTGTTCTGGAAGGACATTACAGGTAGCACCTGAGTCAATTTGAAAACTAATTTGCCTGCCTTTTATAATCATGGAGGCAAAAATTTTGTTCTTAGGAGGGGACTGGGACACAGCATTTATTGCCAGATTATTTTTGGGTGAAATTTCAACAATGAGAATTTCATCATCATTTGAAGTGTTTTCTTCCTTCACTGCATGTATTTTGGCTTTAGAAAATGTATCTCTCATACCTGGTGATTTCTTCAAGCTGCACTTCTCAACAAAATGGTTTCTCTTACCACAACCAGAACAATATCTGCCAAAGGCTGGGCAACTCTCTTTGTTTCTTTTATGGCTACGCCCACAAAATTTGCAGTCGGAAATAAAACCTCTTGTGTCTCCAGTGGTCTTCCTCGGGCTGCTTTGCTTTCCAACATAAGGGGCCATGAGGTCTTGATTATCATCTTGGCCAGCAATTATTTTTGCTTGAGCAGTAGTTGTTTCTGTGGCCCTGCATAAGTCAATGCATTTAGATAATGAGAGTTTTGGTTCTTGCAGTAGCTTACGTCGCACAGCATTGTTGTGAATGCCACAAACAATTCGGTCACGTATCAACTCATCATTAAGTGGTCCAAATGCACATGTGGCTGCGAGGGCACGCAAAGAAGCCGCATAAGTTTCAATTGACTCTGTAGGGCCCTGTGTACAGTTATTGAATTTATACCGTTCGTAAATCACAATTGTTTCTCCAATACAGTAAGTATTCCATAATTCGAAGATTCGCTCAATGTTTTGACGTTCACCCTCCTCCTGGTACGGAAGTGAATTGTGTATTCGAAGGGCTTCCGGTCCTATGCAAGTGATGAAAGCAGCCACTCGAAAATTGTCTGGTTTAGACTTCAAATTCGTAACAGTTTCGTACGCATCATAGATTTGTTTCCATTGCTTCCAATTCTCTGCCAAATTCCCTTCTAAACTTAATCGTGGGGGTAATGGCACGTTAGATATGAACGCCGATGTTCCGCTATTTCCTTCAGAGGAAGCACTAGGCCCAGGCACGATTGGATTCGGATCTGTCATCGCGAAACAAGAACCAGCAAAGCAATCATTTACCTCCTAAAGATGGGTGTTTCACCTATCAAAGATGGGTGTTTCACCTGACACCATGTAAGAATATCCGGTATGTAACAACGAAAGAACACCCGAATTTGAACTTCAATACTTCATTTCATATTCTCACGCATAACATCATTTAACATAACATAACGAACCGGGCGCATGCCCAACATAACATAAATACGAGGCTAATAACGTCACAATGATAAAGACAAAAAGGCATTTGACATGAGAATAGAAACTGCGTTTTCCCCTTTTCCAATCCACTCATGGATATATCCAATATGGTTGAAGGAAAACATATATTTGACACGTAGCCCTTATACAAAAGTAGACTTTGAATAACTCTTACTTTAAAAGAAACATGATGCTATCCGACGAATTAAGGTGCTAGAGAGTCAAGAAAGGGCTCATCTAATTTGTTAAGAACAACTTCTAATTTCAGAATGAAAATTATACGGTAAAGGGGACTTTACACATTGTTTGCTACAAGATCTTGTCTTTGAAGATTGCAATTCGAAGCCAAAATAGCAATGTTTTTGTTGTCTTTTGCTCTCTCTCCGTCAATGTTTCGTTTATTTTAGTTCTTTTCATTCACAACAGAATTATTTTATTATTGAATTCGTATCTCTACACGATATCATATGAGAAATTAAAGTACAAGTTATGAATAAAGAGCTAATAATGCAAGACAAAAATTTAAAAATTTGGTTTAGACTTTGCTTGAAATCAAGCAAATTTCTGATCTTCATGGTAACCGTGTTTAATTTGGGGTTTAATGAGCTATTCAAGTGTGTTTTTAATTTCCGTTTGAAATGCTAGAGTGAGGGGATTTCCCTTAATTCTTTGGGTATTTTTCTCCAAGCTTTATAAGCTCAGAAAGGTAGAATCTTTTTGTCAATGCGTTTTCGTTCTTTGTATCTCGATTAAACCCGCTA